GTCCCATGGTCCCATGGGCCCAGCCGGACCTGTCTCGCTGATCAGCACCTGATCGCTGTGCTATGCCGATGCATCCCTTTCCTTTGTGGATGACTTGCTCCTAAAACCCCAGATACGTCTGTGGATGGACATGAATCCCACAAAAATGAAGGACAATGGCTGGATCATAGGGGATTTGCGCTACAAGAATTGGAATGTAGTAATGATTAGTAATGGGAATAGAATTGGACTGATGCCATCCCTTTAGTATTAAACAACCTCCTAAATGGTTCGAAATGTGTGTAAATGAATGTAATTCCCCCACAATTCCAACATGGTTTCTGGAAGGTGCTGAGCAACATAAAGGTATAGGAACCCCAAAAGATGGAAGCGTATTTAATATTTAATCACTGTTCTATAGTATTACAGGAGGAATTTGACTTCCCCATCTGTTTGATTCTTATTATGGGTGGCTGTAATTAATTAGTCATATATTTACTGTTTGAATACTCGTTGATGGGGCTTAATGGGGAATACTGTTACCATTGTGGTATAATAGTCAAACAAGAAGCATTGTGGTTGAATACTGTTTGATGGGGCTTAATGGGGTATCGGTATTACTGGTACCATACCACATCATACCACCCAACAAAGATCCACAAAAGCCGTCCAGCCGTCCATCCTAAGAACGAAGTCTTCCAACCCCCGACTCATGAAAGTAGTGATCCACTTATATCTACTTTTGATTGGGAGGATGGTAACTCCCATGACATCCTGATTTTCCGTAAAATTCATCATGTAAAATCCCATGACATCCTTAGATCCCGTTGCATCCACTTGACTTGTCCGCTCCGGGACACCGCATGCTTCCCAGAGCCAATGTGAGGCAGGGCCAAAGCTTGGATGGGGCCTCAGTTTTCAATCCAGGGCCTGAAGGAATCCGATTTTTTTTTAAACAAACTTGGGATATCCTGATACTATGGTAGTTTAGGATTCAATGGGAATAACCAACTTGATTTGATATCCTTATATCTTATTAAGCCCTGTGATGATAATTAGCGTAGATTTGAATGTTTAATATGGTTGTAAATCATTGAATATGCCATTTCGAATCCTGATGAGGATAAAATCTAGTCTTTTCATCATATTTCTTGGTGTTATCAAACTTCAGTTCATAGCGTTTTGTTCCCCACCTGCCAGGTGAGGGTTGTTAGATTTTATGTCAGTTGCCTCCTCCTGCTCCTCCTCCTGCTCCTCCTCCTGCTCCTCCTCCTCCTCCTCCTCTCCTCCTCCTCCTCGTCCTCCTCGTCGTCCTCGTCGTCCTCGTCGTCCTTGCTCAACTGCGATCCGCGATCCACAGTGTTCGCTGCCGGACCTCAACCACGACCATCCACGCCCAGTGTTCCCTGCCGGACCTCAACCACGACCATCCACGCCCAGTGTTCCCTGCCGGACCTCAACCACGACCATCCCCGCCCAGTGTTCCCTGCCGGACCTCAACCACGACCATCCACGCCCAGTGTTCCCTGCCGGACCTCAACCACGACCACCCACGCCCAGTGTTCCCTGCCGGACCTCAACTGCGAGTATCCACGCCAAGTGTTCCCTGCCGGACCTCATGTAGGAATGTCAGATAGACTGCCAGATAGAATGCCAGATAGAATGTCAGATAGGATGCCAGATAGAATGCCAGATAGATTGCCAGAAAGAATGCCAGAAAGAATGCCAGATAGAATGCCAGATAGAATGTCAGATAGGATGCCAGGTAGAATGCCAGATAGAATGCCAGAAAGAATGCCAGAAAGAATGCCAGATAGAATGCCAGATAGACTGCCAGATAGAATGTCAGATAGAATGTCAGAATATATGTCAGATATAATGCCAGATAGAATGCCAACATATATGCCAGAATATATGTCAGATAGAATGCAAAAATATATGTCAGATATAATGCCAGATAGAATGCCAGAATATATGCCAGAATATATGTCAGATAGAATGCCAGAATATATGTCAGAATAAATGACAGGTAGAATGCCAGAATATATGTCAGATGAAATGTCAGAAAATATGTCAGATAGAATGCCGGATAGACTGCCAGATAGAATGCCAGGTGGAATGTCAGGATATATGCCAGATAGAATGCCAGAATATATGCCAGAATATATGTCAGATAGGATGTCAGAATATACTAAATATATGTCCAAATATACGTCCTGACATGTCATGGTGGGGATCACACGAAGTAGAGTAATTTTTCTACGAGGCCAACCATGAAGGTCATCTCACTAGGTTCGCCTAAGGGTAGTACACCATAGTACACCATGGATCCCATCAGGCTTCCGCCCGGTCAATATATCGCGATTTGATGTGGCCCCAAGAATACACCCAAATCTTTGTGTTGAGGTTTGTCTTACAGGGTTTGCCATTGATTGGCTCATCCTCCAATAATATCAATGTTTTCACGATTTCAAATCTGAAAATCACAGTCCAATTCACTCTAAAATCAAAGAAACAACTCCGAACATGTCTAAACATCACTCTAAAATCACATATAAAAAGATTAATAAAAAGTATTGCAAAGTCACTTAACAAAAATCGCAGTTCCCCCACATCTTCCCCCACCAGGGGCGCCACTGGGCCGAAGTATCTCGCGCTCCACCAGGGCTCGGCGGGACTCGAAGGGCAGGGAAGGCAACAAGTCCTGGCATCGTTTTTAAAACGTGGGAAATTCATCGCCGGAACATCTAAAATTAAATCGACCAGAAATCAGGATTTTTTTATCCATGGAAATTCCATCAAAAATCACCATTCAAAGCCCATTCAATCACCATTCAAAGCCCATTACCCTCTGGTAATTTAACATAGCTATGGAAAATGGCCCATTTATAGTTGATTTACCCATTAAAGATAGTGATTTTCAATAGCTATGTTAGTTTACCAGAGGGTAAATCTCCATCAAACCACCATAAACCCCACATAAATCGCCAAGTCGAAAAACTGCCCACCTCCAATGCCACTTGGCTGAAATCCGCGGAGCCCTCGGCGCCGACGACTGGGGTGACTGGCCATATCTGGCCTTTTCAGAAAGCCCCAGAGAGTGAGAATCATCTGGTAAACTAACATAACTATAGAAAATCACCATTTTTAATGGGTAAATCCACTATAAATGGTAATTTTCAATAGCTATGTTAGTTTACCAGAGGGTATATGGGATTTACCCATGATTTACCCATGATAAAAACAATGATTTACCAATGATTTAAAGTACGAGTCGTACGACTTGACGAATTTTCTCTAGGTCCTCGTAAAGAATATGATTTCTGGATGAAAGATATCTATAGATTATCCTTGGCATTCCTTGGGATTTACGGCCTGATATGGTGGTTTCCCACTTATGGGGAACCCCCACAGTAGCGGGATGGTTTTTTTGACGGACAAGTTTATCCCCAAAGAAATGGATAATTTGGGGTTACCCCCAAATTATAGCAAGTGGCCATGAGCAAATATATATAATTATATATATAGTTGGTATTAGTTGGCCAACTGGTTAGTTAATCCCATGAGTAAGTATATCAATTAATTACAAGCCCAATTACAGTAATTACTAACGGTTAGTAATTAGTAACATGGATAATAACCCATTAGCTACTGCAAGTGGTTAGGAGTTGGGTAATAATCCATGGCTAATATGGATATATCTAACACAACAGTTACAACTTGAAGATTAGCTAACAGCAATTTAGTGACTAGGATTAGCTAACATGTTGTAAAGCCACAAACTTGCGTGAAATCCAAATAGTTCATAGTTAGATGGGTAATAACCCATGATGGATAATAATGGATAACAATGACATAGTTATGATTAGATCAAGGAATTAGTATAATATATAATATATATAGAGTTGACAACATGATATAACTGATATAACCCATAAACTGTCCCCAATGGTAATCCATTTGCGATCAGTTATTTAACCCTGCGGCGGAAGTGGATATTTCGTAGACCTGAATGGCTTGGTAAACAGGCGTCAACAGTTCTTTGTATAGGTAGCCATCAATTGGTGGTGACTGACTTGGGAGTCCATGTTTTGGATTGTCATGCACAGCTCCATCTCCTGTATGGTCTGAGAAATCTCGAAACCATTAATTACGAAGAATTACAAACTTACCCTCTGGTTATTTGTTACATAGCCATGGTTTTTCGATGGCCCTAATCGAAATAGATGGTTTACCGTTCTTAATAGCATGGTGGATCCCTCCATGGCAAACTGTTAAACTGTTAGCCATAACCAGATTGTGAGTTTCTCTGGTCCTCCAAAATCCCATATTTCAGTCACACCCACCAGTCACATCTCAATGTATCCCACGAAAAATCCTGTTCGAAAGTGGTGCAAAAATTTCCCCAAAAAACCCGGCCTGGCAAACGAACTAACCAAAAACTATGGGAAATCAGCATATGCCATGTTCAATAGGGAAATCAACTATGTCAATGGCCATTTTCAATAGCAAACTGTTACATTACCAGAGTTCATTCGATGGTTTCCCAGAAAGCCAGCTAACCTGCATGGCCTGTCCATCTTCCCCAGAAGAACTGCCCCAAAATGTCAATACATATCTGTATATATATATATAAACATATATACATATATATATATAAACACATGCACATAGAATCCACACATTCATGGTTGATGAATCCTCCCTGCATCTTCGTATTTCCATTTACATACATACAGTAATATATATATATATATACCTAGAACTTCATTTGATACACTTATTTCTGTATCACTTTGGGAAATGCTCGGTTGACAGATATCTATCACAAATACGAGGTTTTTGTTCGAATGAGAAAAAAGTGCTCGAATGGGTTTCCCTTTATGTAACCCAATCCATCACTTATCCTGTCTTATCCTGACCCAGCCCAGACATGTACATCTTGTGCACACATCCTCCAAATCTTCAACACATTTTCGCTTGGAACCTCAGCTTGCACGGGCACACTTTGGCCTTGGTCCTTAGTCTACATTGGCATATGCCCTTCCAAAGGTAGCAATCCATTGTCTCCTGTACAAAGCAAGGGCCCTGGTAATCGTTCGATCGGCAGCTGTTAATGGGGAGGTTCTTCTTGATATTCTCGATATTCTTCCAATGAAGTCTTCGTCGCTCCAAGTCATGTAGGTGCTGATGCTAAGAAACCATTGGGCATCTGGGTATTGAAGTAGAGCATGTTTCAGATCCAACCTCGCGTGATAAACTTTCCTCATGAAACAATCATAAAAAATCAACCACTGGTTTAACATGGTTTAACACTTGATGGATACCCTCCCCAGACCCAAGCAGTAGTAGTCAAGATTCCCAAGGTGGCACATCATGTGCAGCTTTGGTCTGATTTTGAAAAGCGGGTACCCAGCCCTCGCACACAAAGTTGCCAAAGTACTGTATTCATCCTTGTTATTGTTCATGTCAAAAAATGGAAACATTGGGTGCCCATAAAAGCAAGGTATGAAATAAGTAATGAAACAAGTAGAAAGCTTGAAGCATGATGTATGAAACCCAGTATCACAAAAGATGAAACAATCGCGCACCAACAACTCTGTGTCAGCACGCGTCACCCAAAGCCCAGCATTGTACTGGAGTCTCCAAAACCTGTTGATTCCGTTTGAGCTCCATCGAAGAACTTCCAGCAGCTCGTTGAATTGGGGGCCCTTAGCTCTGCAACCCACACCATCTAGAAATAAGCGTGGAAGTCAAATGTATGGTGCATTGACCCTGATGTCATTGTTGAGTTACAGTAATATCAATGTATTATCAATTTTATCATTTCAAAAGTTTGTTGGCCCCAAAGTGTTTCTGCAAACCACCGAATGCCGGCGAAGTTTCTGCAAAGGTCGCGGGGGCTGAGCAGAGTTCTTCATCCAACCAGGCAGACACCACCGCAGCGTCGTGGCCTTTTCCAAGACCAGCTGGGTATCCATTCAACCTGAGGGATAAAGAAAAAGCTTCAGAAACATAGGTATATGTTGTATAACCATAGGGGTGGAAAAAAGTGGATATACAAAACGGGGCAATCTAGAAACACCAAAAGGTGCTTATAATGTGAGACTAGACACGAGTTCTGGGGAAGTTTAAAGACCTTGTGGCTGAACTCAGTGATCGATGTATTCTTTCCATGAGCTTCACAGTAAGCCATGAACCGGGAGAAGGCGTTCTTGAACTTATCGTCAATGGGTCCATTGCCAAACCACCCCATGTGCATCAGCAAAATGATGCTGCTTGCTAAGTAGGACTTTCCAATCCCATCAATTGCATATGTATGAGCAGGGTCAATCCTAATGTACTTTGGGTCATCGGCTGTTGGGAGGTTCCGGAGAGGACTGACCCACCCTGGCTTAAAGACATCCCCAGGATCATGGTTTGGAGCAATGTTCTTCACGGCATCCTTCACATCCCACCATTCCTCATTGACCAAAAGCACTTGTTGATTTGGAAAAAAACAACGGGCTGCCATTCATGCTATACTACCATGAGACCATGATATCTTCTTAGTTTCTCAGACTAGTTTCAGGGACTTGGCACCGGTGACATTTTTGTAAGCAGTTGTATCCACGACAAAGGCCCATACATTGCCGAAGGTACGGCCAGTCACCCTTCACCCCAATCACCACGAATCTGTAGAAGTACTGCTGTTCCTTGTACTCAACCTTGGATGTTGGAACAAGTGTAGAATGACCCCATGACGGACATGAATGAGTACTGAAACTTTTCTAGTGGGGACAAATATTGCAATCTTACTAAAATCTTACTAATACGTGAGAAACTTTGATTCCATCTCGATAAAGACTCAGCAAATCTGAAGACAAATCCTCGAGGACATCATTGAGATTTTCGTCAGAGTAGGGCGATGGAAGGATCGTATATAGCATTCTGGAACACATGGATGACCTAGGCCACAATTCTCATAACTCAAGACCAACTTACATGGGAAGTATTGGGAAAATTTGGGAAATGTTGATCCCTGCCCAAACCAAAAAAAACATTTCAAAGCATTTAAAAAAATGGATCCTGCTCAGAAACCCTTGCATATTGGATTTGAAATCATGGATTGGGATGATGGTTTGGGTTGACAAGACCAGCACTGGCCTTTTCAGGCGACCTCGGCCCTCATCTCCGCGCAGTGCCAGCGGTATGGCCGACTTCCAGGCCGTCTCAGGGAAATCCCTGAAGAAGGGAAAGTTGGGATCGGTGTCCTTGAATCTGCTCCAGAATAGTTGCAAAGTTTCTCCAAACTCAACTGCGTTGTCTAGATCCTTTCCTCCCAGGAAATTGTGCCCCCCTCTCGACAAACTACATTTGACCCAGTCAGAAGGCTTCAGAACAGGGTACTGTACAAAGGATGCTGGTTTTTTTCGGGAAGTACGCCACATTGTGCCGACTTTGGACACTGCAACCTCCAAGTGTTTCCTTCCTCTCCGGATCACCCCATGCAAGTTTCGAGAAATGTTCTTGTCGAACTTGGACTTTCCGCACCGGGACAAAGTTCTCATCCAAGAGTCATATATTCCTCGGTTCATGCTATAGGGTTGGAATTTGGGTGAGATCTTTTCTTGTCTTTGATGTGCTATGATTGGAATCATATTCGATAACAATATGTGGATGATATATATTCTAAAATTATTTGCAGCTAGTGGTCCATGCTTTCGATCACGAGCATTCGCCACTCGTGCTAGTCGGACAACACGAGCCGCTGATTCAGCCTTAAATGTTCGCTTTGCATGGCACATAGTTTCTAAACAACTGGAAAAACATGATTGTTGAGATACACGAATTGCGAATGCAAACAACTTCAGCCTAGTTGCTCCATCTTCAAATCCAACTAGGAATTCATCAGCTAGATCATCTTCAGTGCCACTGTCACTCTGGCCTTGCAGGTGCCAACTTCGAACTTCAAAGGAAGCGGTACGGATTCCAGGCCCGGCCTTCATCGCCAGGTATTTGGGAAGGAATTGCACCAGCAGGATAACAACCTGCGAGGGGGTAAAATCAAACGTTTGATCTATGTACTTTGAAGTATGATTGTTGACAAATTCTTGCTTTGAGATTTATCGATTCTTCGCATTTTTTCCACCTTCAGCCCCACGACAGCACAATGCTGTGGTTTGAGAACCCCTTGGCCATCCTAGCTTTTTAGATGCCAAACTGTGGTTGCACCAGAAAGCAATAACTTGAAGTAAATTGGGATATGTCGGGATGATATCACACAGCGGCAACTAGTTTCAGGCCATGAAAGAACGACCGCTCTTGGTCATATGGTTTCACCAAAAGAACAACATTTCAGTTGTCCATGCCCCGAACCATCCAAATCCTACAGTTTCCAATTAGTCTTCAGTCTTCTGAATCGACTTTCGTGTCTTCTTGGGATTCTTCTTGCTTGCACTGGACTTTGGTACCGGTTTGGGTGCGCTGCCCGAACCAGGAGTCTTGTTCTTGGACGGCTTCGCAGTTGACTTTGGCGCAGCTTTGAAGGTCCTGATGTGGGAGGATGTGTGTGTGAGACTGGAAGGAATGGGGAACACATGGGAATACATTTTGAATGGTTGAACTGTTGAACCACATTGATGCACCAACATCATAATTTGCAGTCTAGTAACTTTGCCCGAAGGACTAAGTTGTTGAGCGATACATCTGTGCGTGTCACATGCGAAAAGATAGATAAGAGCCTCTTCATATCTTCAGGCCTGCGTTCTGGGCACATGGCAGCTAAGAAACAAACAGGATAAGACAAGTTAGTGAAGAAACGAACAACAAGTAAACAAAAGCAACAACTATTGCAAGTTGGATGTTTCTGGAATTGGATGGGGTGAAAAAAGCACCGACTGTATATAATTCCATTTTTTTTGCTTTCATGCAAGTCTAACATCGGGCAATAGGTCTCTAGGCCTGCTGGCCCTGGTGACTGCTGTCTCCTTCTGTGTGTCCTCCATCTCAGTGTACAGCTTCTTCATGTTGTCCATGTGTGTTTCAATGGCTTTGCACAACCTCATCTTGTGAGACACATTCGCCTCTCTTGTGTTTATTTTGCTGCGTGCAAAAAGCCATCAATATATTATAATCATAATACGTGTGAGTATCATAGCGAGTATATATTCCAAATGAGGTGTGGGCTCTTTCGATGCGTTGGATCCCAGCTTCCCCAGCTTTTCCTGCGGCATGTGATATGGAAACATTATTGAACCACATGTCTAAAGAAAAACTATGCAAATATCGACAGCAGTCTGTGGGCAGTCCAGAACTGGAGCACAGTTGTCAAGCTTTTCCCGGTGACTTCGATAAAAGTGGACAGCAGCGCAAGTGGGCTTGAGTTCTGCTGGATGGTCGGGAACACCAACCTGAAGGAAAAAAAATGCAATTGTTGAAATCACTTGTTGCTAAAATCGCTAAACAAAAATTGGACCGGCCACTCTGGAAAGGCAAGAAACTTGAAGGAACCAGAACTAGCAGCTGCTTTGTCCTCATCCTTGTCCGCTGCGGCACTGAAATGCTTCATGATGCTCTCATTGCTGGAAGTAGCGTCAGGTACGCTGTCACGCATCATCTCCCCACTCTCATCCTTAGGTATCATGTCAAACTGGAAGATGCGTGTCAGTTGTTAGTGTTGCTGAAGTGTTTGACATGTTTCAAGAACATAAACTATTGTTAAACAAGTATCGTGCATTTCAAAGCTCATTGACTGTGTGGTTTCTTGGCCTTCCTTGTTCTGGACCGAGAAGTCTTCGGTCAAGACCAGACGTGCTTCTTGCTCTCCGTGGACTCCGTTCTTGCGTACGTGTCCGTTGCGCTCAGCCCATAGGAATGCGTTGTCAATCATGGTCCTAAGAACGAGTCACGTATAATCCCTTAATTGTATATATCATTCGGAACCCACACACACACACATGTACAATTTGCTTACTCCATCAAAAACTGGGGCCCAGTCTTTGACCAGTGGTGAGTTTCTTTGAGTTGGTGCTTGGTGATCCATGCTCCACCCTTGTTCTCCGATTTGACCTTTGAGCTCCAACGCTTGACTGTGGTTTCCACCAAGTTCCAATTTCCATCGCACTTCAACAAGACCTCGCGCAGCTTTGCACCTTAGGGCACAGTATGGCACAACAGTGGATATGGTAACAATTCAGGTAGGAGAAGATAGCAAAAGATTTGAAATAGTCGGTACTGCATGTTTGTTTGAAACTTGATTGGACAAGATACTGTCATTTTTCCACAGGCGAAGAACTTCGCTTGAACATTTAACTTCACCCCCTGGCTTTGGAACACAGTACCGCCTCATCCTTAGCCAACAGACACTAGGACCCCTGAAAGAATGTAAGTGAGGGTATACAAAGGGAAATTCAAATGGACTACGATGCATATGTCATATCAGAAATGTGTGGGATTTGAAGATTTGAACATACAATATACTTCCCAATGAATGGTATCCAAGTCTCTTCCAAAAAGTTGCGTCTTTCTTCATGGGAGCTTTGGCCGGGGGAGGTCCCATCTCCACGTTGCCCGGTGTTTCAACAGAATCCCCCGCTGCTGGCAAAGTTGATTCAACACCAGGAGAATCGTCCCTTTTGGTGGCGGGTGTACCAAAGTTGATGTCACAATCATGAACCGATTGGGCATCTTGCCAATATGATGGTGCTGGGCTGGAAGCAACCGAGTGTGTTTTTTTCTCCCCCTTTGGTGTCCCGAGTTGTTCCGTGGATCCCGATCCAGCCGCAAATTGTCCTTGAGACACTGCAATCGGTGGAGCCCCTGCCAAGTAACGTGGGTCACAGAAGCACAAAAAAACAATATTGCAGATATATGCATGCGTGTCAGATACTTGTCAAATACGTACACAGATCATGATCCCAGCGAAGATAAAATAAATTCGATAGTTTTGATACCACGACCTGCCTTCAACAACATATTGTCCGAGATCCACTTCGGGGACCATGCTGGGATCAAGCTTGTTCAGCGACTTGGTCAAAGCTGCGATCTTCGAATTGGACTCCTGCAGTCAACAAAAACGGAAAGCACATGGACGTATACTTTTTCCATCATAAAAATTCAACGCCCGATATGTTCAAAAGACGCTCACGTACACACACACACACACTATGTGATTGGTTTTATATAGGTTCCCCTTTTTGCTGTCTAGATTCAGCTATCATAGCGTCAATGTCCATCTCAGCACTTTGGGGCCCAGTGCTATTTGTCGCCAGGTGGGAAATTCCAGCCATGAGAGTGTTGCACGACCAGGCACGGGCGCCGGACATACCAAAACGTCAATCAAATTGTAAATTGGGCCTAAAAGATCATAAAACCATATATCCAATGCTGATTTTTTTCATTTTTTTCAAGATGATTGAAGATTGGTGGTGTGAACATACAAAAAAATACTCCAAATCTCCAAAAGTGTTCGAATTCAAATTTGGAAGTGAGCACTTTTCAGAATTGCGCTCGGTTGCGCGAGATTGCGCCCGGGTAGCACGGAATTGCGCTCGAGTTGCGCTATCCAAAAGTACACCCAATCTACTGAATTTCTCAATTTTTCAATTTTTGTACGTTTTGTACGAATCCCCAGAAGTAGCATCCTCTGAATTGTAAACTCATGTGCATATTTGCACATGGCTTAGAAAGCCTAAGGTGAAATCTGTGTTTCACCAACCCAAGACTCTGATCGAGACTTGACCTCAGCTGTATGCAATGCTTTTGTTCAGCCACCTCTAACTTCAAAAGACAAAAGCTATAGTTTAATCCAAGAAACAATTTCATCGTGGAAAGATGCCATGGGCTCTTGCCATTCAATTGGAATCCTTCAGGGGTACCCATGCACTCATAGATAATACTTCCATGGGGTAAACAATTAGATACCTTCATTTGAAATACAAATGTTGTGAAAGACAAGCCC